AAATATGGCATCATTGTAAGATACAAAAATAAATTTGACGGTTTAAAATTAAAATTTTCTGGTAAATATAGAATTAGAGATTCTTTTTCTATCGTCTGAAGTTCTACTGCTTTTCTTCTTAAGAAAAAACAAATAAATCAGAACGAAAACTACCTAAAATGTCATAAATTATCGTTGACAGTTAGTTACGCCAATCACCAAGGCCCTAAGTCAATATTATTCGTCAACATCTGGTAATTTCGGTTGCCGAAAACGAATGTAAGAGGCCACCAAAGTAGATACAAGAAGCTACTTCATCATTATTAATAATTACCGCTGTAAAATAGTTATTTTTTATACAAGACGATAAAATGATATTTTACGATAATGCAATTTTATCGTAGTGTATAAAACAATATTTTTTTCCATAGCGACTTACGTTTTTAAAAATATTCAGAAATTATTATTTCAAGGAATTTATTACGAGTAGAAAAAATATTGTGCTGGGTTGGCGTTGGTTTCTATGTAATTTGACAAATAAATAAAGCTGTCTCTTTAGTTGTCAGTTTTGAGTCAATATTTTTTAATTCTCTTTCGTGTCGATTGCTGATTGAATTGGAGCCAGAAATTGTTCAAAACGAAATAAGTAAATTACCAACAGATATTCAGGCTGAGGCGACAAACGCCTTATCCAAACTACTTCCATTTAAATCCCGAATAACTTATGAAAAGGAATACAAACATTTTCAAAAATGGAAGCAATGAAAAAACGTGCGAGAAGAAATAAAACTTTTAACCTATCCTCGCTGTTAAAGTATCATTTAATCTACCCTTGTGGTTAAAGCAATATTTTATCTACTATATAGTCTGTCCAACGAGAAGATCCTTGACAGTGATAGATATGCCTGTCAATTTAATTTCAAAGTAGTTTATTTTATTTTACAAATAAATAAGTTGGTACAACTGGAACGCATAGCAGGAAATTAATATATTTAAAATTTGACTGACAAGTGATTACTTCAAAATATTGTGAAAAAAACTGTTGAATGAAAAAATGTAATCGAGTTATTTTATTTAATAAAAAACGGTATGTGTTAATACAAAACAAACAAGAACAAGACACCACATACCAAAAAATATAAAAAAGAACTATTTCTTACTTTCAAGCTTTATGAAACTTCCAGCATTTATGATTATTTTTAACAATATAACTTATGTACAAATACAAATTTGTAATATCCCACAGGAATAAATAAAACAAACTATTTTATTAATAATAACACTTACCATAAATATTTTATACCTTAAAGGTTGATTAATTAACTTTAATCTTAATTTTTTTAAACCAGTACCTTTTGACATGATTTTTCTGCAGTACTAAAATCCATTATTTACCTATCGTACGATGTCGATATTTTACAGCTACTCCAGTTTTTAGTATGTGTTTAGTATGGTCCTTCTACCATATTCAGGTGCGTATTCATTATCCGAACGAACGAACGAATGTTCGCTAGTGGTATGGACGGGGACCGTACGATAGAACCGCACGAGAAGACCGGACGCATTTCTTGGCGAACGCCTTTGATGTACCGACTCGAAACGGATGGTCGAGCGAACGAACGAACGAACGTGCGTATTCATTATCCGAACGAACGAACGAACGAACGAATGAAAGTGCGGTATATTTAGACGGGGACCGAACGCACGCGGCCGTTCGTGTGTTCGTTCGCTCTACCATCCGTTTCGAGTCGGTACATCAAAGGCGTTCGCCAACAAATGCGTCCGGTCTATCGTCCGGTCTTCTCGTGCGGTTCTATCGTACGGTCCCCGTCCATACCACTAGCGAACATTCGTTCGTTCGTTCGTGCGGATAATGAATACGCACCTTTAGAGATGCACTTATCTACGGCGAGATGGTATACGAACTTTATTGAAGGTAACTTTATTGGTGTATAAGACTTTCTGACTGGGCAGCTAGTATTAACCATAAACTGTGCTCTGGGTCTACAATTAATTTTTACTCGATTTTTCCTCCACTTGACTTCAAAAGACACAAAACACACGTAATAACACGAATCAAAATGCATCATCTTCCACAACGCCAAAAAAAAAAGTTGACACAAAATTATAACCTATAATTTGGCAAGACTTTGACAAACGTCAAAAATCATAATATAATAAAATCTAGTATCCGCTAATAGACTAGTTGGCAAAAATATGTAATTTTATGTTAGTATCACAAATGATACAATAGGCTTCATAAAAAGCTTAAAAAAGGTAATACATTTTAAATTAATTAACGTTTATTTTTTACTGATGCCCTCTAACGGACAAACTAAGCATTTTGTATTGAGGTAAATACAATGTGCCATCATGGTACAAAGAATACAAGGTATGATCGATAGCGGCTCCAATTTCATTCAGTTCGCGCATACCACCTGTGACGTCACTAGGAAAATAATGAGTAAAAAAAAATAAAGAAAGTTGACAGGAGATCTGCATTTTTTGGGGTTATGGTTAAGAATTGTTTATTTTTAAGACTTTTTAGTTCGTTTAATTTAATAATTACCAAAACCAGCAGTTCCAAAAATATATTTTAAAATAATAATTATCTATTAACACGGATTTGGACGATACGTAAGAATACTAAATTTATTTCTATATTCGGTATAAAATTGTTTATTAGGTTTTTAGTTTGCGATGTTTATGGTAAATAATTTTCATTTTCATTGCCTCTGAATTCACATGAGGACAGAGTTGAGGATATCTATGGAAAAGTAACCACAAGAGGAATTGTTACATCATTTAAAAAATATTGGGAAGTTTATTGTTTCCCATCGAAAAGTAGAAAATGCCAATGCAGATGAACGTATTGTAATTGTGATAGAAGTAATTCTAAGGGTGAAGTTTATTATAATTAGTGGAAGTAATACCAAGGGTGAAGTTTATTATAATTAGTGACCTCTGCTTCTTTTTATATGTAGAAGTTTCTGGTTTTGAGAATAAATCGGTTGAACGACACCCAAAATTTAAAGGAAGTATTTGCATACCCAGAATATGCCCATCAAGGATTATATAGCTCAAATTTCCTTTAATGGTAGGCAATTATTCAATGCAAATTAACTTTTTAAGTGACTAAAATATTAAATAGTTTACAATATGGTATATCACTAAAAATATATTACTTTTAGGTACAATTAGGGCCCGATACATTTCAAAAAGTAGAATATTATTTTATATTAAATGAGGTATTGTACTAACAATCAATTTATATTAATAACGGAGATTAAAAATAACAGAATAAATAGTTCTTTTTTTTTTTCTACTACAAAAATAAACTATAGAATACAACAGTATTTAAAAAATAAATAAAAAGTTATGTCCCGGCCGAGATTCGAACTCCGGTCTCTCGCTTCCTAGCCCGACTCCTTACGCACTGCTCCACAGTAGCTTGCTTAGCGATAATTCAATGACGGTATGTAAACAAAAAAACAGGTTTATAACAATATATTGACGATTTGAACTGGCGCGCGGAGCGTGCTGACCAATAGCGCCTGTTATCACCTGTGACGTAGCGACCAACCTGCGCAATATCATACCTTGTATTCTTTGTACCATGATGTGCCATTAACTAATTTTGATTCAATACGTAATTGCTCTATGTCCACGGAATGTTGGAACTCCCTGTATATTTTGTATTATTTTGTGTATGTTTTATTCCTAACTTTGACGTTTTTTAAATAGATGCCTTCTTTTCAATTTTATGTGAACAATACTATTTGTAGAACGTTTTTCAAAATTTGGGCATTTTTTGCTAAATTCATGTTGCCAATCTATACTAATATATAAAATCCTTAAGTGACTCACTGATTACTCACGATCCTGCTCAAACCACTCAACGTAAGAAGCTCAATTTTGACATAGAGGTTGATTCTCGTGGTGTAGAGGTTCGATAAGATTCGAGATATTTTTCGAAATTCCAGTTCCAAGGGGGTGAAACCATCCCACAATATTTTTTATTTAAAAAACGGTCAAGTTTCCGAAAAAACGCTTAAACACGTATATTTTATTTTGTTTTTTACATATTTTAAGATTTTTTAAAAAAGTATACAGGGTGTTTCGAAAAATCTGGTCATTGATTAATCACGATCCTGCTTAAAGCGCTTGACGTAAACAGCGGATTTTTGGAAAACGGATTGACTTTAGGGTGTAGAGGTTCAATAAGAAGGGATTTTTCGAAACTCGAATTCTAAGGGGGTGAAACCACCCCTCAAATATTAGAATATTTTTTATTTAAAAACCGGTGAGTTTTTCGAAAAAAACTCTTAAACACGTATATTTTATTTTGTTGTTTTACATATTTTAAGATTTTTTAAAAATTTATACAGGGTGTTTCATATAATTTGACCATTGAGTAATCACGATTCTGCTTAAACTGCTTGACGTTTAAAGTTGATTTTTGGCAAACGGATTGACTGTGGGGTGTAGAGGTTCGATAAGAAGGGGTTTCTCGAATCTCAAATTCCAAGAGGGTGAAAACGCCCCTCAAATATTACAATACTTGTTATTTAAAAAACGGTTAGTCTTTCGGGAAAACGCTTGGACACGCATAATTTATTTTGTTTTTTACATATTTTGAAATTTTTTAAAAAATCATACAGGGTATTCAAAAAAGTTGGGTAATTAATTAACCACGATTCTGCTTAAATGCTTGACGCTTATTTTTGGCAAACGGATTCTTCGAAAGTCAAATTCCAACGAGATCAAACTACCATTCAAATATTACCAAGTTATATAATAATATCGCCATATTGTTTTTTCTCATGCTGACATAAATGTGAGAAAATTTTACCCAGTTTGTATGTTAATGGAAATTCTTGCTTTGCTTTATCATCACAATTACAAATGATTAATTCGACGCGAACAAAGTCGCGGGTACATGCTAGTAAAATTATAAATCTCTAACATTATACTTAGCTTTTCAAAATATTTATTAATAAATAAATTATTATTATTTTCAGATTCAACAAAAACACTTGACATCAAATTTAACAACAATGGAAAGGTGGAACCGTATTTAAGAAACATTTTAAAAAGAAACGCAGGTAAATAAGAACAGTTTCATTACTTTTTCTCTTTTAAAACGATTTGGTCAGAAAGCAACATTGCCCATTTTTATTTAAACGAATTAAGCAAAAACAATTTCTGTAATAACAGAACAAACGCAAAGTTTTTAAGTAACATTTAAATTTCTATAATTTTTTTAATTAAGTCATACATTATATATTGTTTAGGAAGCAGTTAATTTTAATAATCCTATATTTGTTAGCATCTATAAATAAATAAGTGCATTACAAATTATATAATTAAGTATGTTGGAAAGTATGTCGCAAAATTAAATTGATTTTTATTGTTAATACTAACTATACTATTGTTATTATAATTATTAATTTTATGTATTCATTTAATTAACGAATTATTTTATTGCCAATATTAGAAATTCGTTAATTTGCAACAAATTAGAATGTTGCAAAATTTGCGGTAAGATTCTAATCATTGAACTAAATTAACAATTATATAGGTAGGTACTTAAAAAAGTTATTGCTACACCATTGCATTAATTAGGCCTATAGACCTATTTTTATTAAAAATATCTCAGTATAATTACTATAATTAATGTTATCCAGTAAAAGAGAAATATATCTTTTTAAATCTTGTTTTTCTGATTCACACCTATATTATTCACACCTTTACTAAAAAAAGTATCTTAAAATAAACAGACTTCCAAATTAAACGTTCAAAATTGAAATAGAATCATTTTTACTGACACTTACAAAAATAGAATGGCTTAAGACAAAATAGTGTGCTTAAAAGAAAGTACTGTGATAAATAGGAGTAGACTATAGGACTGGCAATTGAAAAGTTTCAAATTATAGTTGAAAAAATAGAAGTATATTTTTATATTATAAAATGATTTTAATGCAATATACAGGGTGGCGCCTCTCATACGCAGCGGCAGTTCCAAGGAGAACGACAGCTTATATTGAAATGAAATTTCAATATAAGCTGTCAATCATACCAAAAGCATATAATGTATCTATATGATTTTTGTATTATATATGTATATCTATAATCTATAACTACATACATCTATAATCAAAACATACAATGGTTATTTTAACTAAATATCAGGCTATACAGGGTAAAATACAGTTTAGGTAGCTCTTCGTTTTTAGAAAATGTTAAGTACTTATATGCCAAAAACCTTAAAATTTAGTCATATATACTTTTTTAATAAAACTCCCCTTATTATTTTCCTAGACTTAAAAAAACGAGATTTGGTATGTTAATATATGACATAAATTAGGATTGATTGACGTATTCAATTGTTTTCGGTCACTTCCTGTTTCACCGGAAATGACTACAACTTTTGATTTTTAAATGGCACACCCTCCGCATTTTTTTTACTTTAATCCATAGGAAATAACACTCTGAATAGAATGACATATCATATGTCAACTTTTGACATTTGACATATGGTTTATTTTAAATTATAAGTTGAAATACCAAATGTGTGGTATCAAATTATTCGTAAAAAATGCTTTTTCCAAATATGCTATCGAGTCACCCTAGTTCCATTTGAAAAAAATTGAGATATGATAAAAAATACGATTTGAGCATTCTCTAACTGGCCAGGAGAAGACATAAAAACATTAGACGATCAAATCTATTTTTCCAAGGCTATTCCTGACCATGGCACTCTAGATTGAAATTTAAAATACGATATTTTATTAAGCGGCAATGTCAAAAGTTGACATATGATATGTCATTCTATTCAGAATTTCATTTTCTATCGAATATAGTAAAAAAATACCGAGGGGTGAAAAAATACCTTCTGGTGAAGAAGTTACCAAAAACGAATGAATACGTTAATCAATCTTAATGTATGTCATATACTAATATACCAAATCTCGTTTTTTTATCTGAAAAAATAAAAAAGTTATAGGGGGTGAGCCACTATTGGAACTATGACAAAAAACACGACTTTGTTCCAATTTAATTTTTTAAATCTAGAATTCGTATAAATATACTTCCCAAGAACCTCTATATTTCTTTTTTTTTATTTTTAGATTCAACCCGAAATTCCACAGAACCCAAAGTAACGGAGTCACTGAACGTTGTCACCGAAATAAGTGTCAAAGAAACCGTCAACGGACAGACAGTCCAACGAAAACCCACCGCTGACGAACTAAGATTGATAGAAAAAAGAATTTTGAGTTCCTCATTTAACCGTTTCGAAGAACCTCAACCAAAAAATTCACACAACACTCACGACGATGATGACAATGATATGAAAATTGATAACGATCATTCGACAGTTAACGAAATTCAAGATCTAGACTCTTTAATACCTGTAGATGCCAGTTTAGTAGATGAAGACCCTTACGACAGATATCTAGCGGAAAATGATGAAGTTAGAGATGTAGCTTCTATTTTTAGTAAAGGAGAAGAGACTTACGAAAGTAATAACGAAAAACAGGAAAGCTCAGATAAAAATAATAGAGATGAAATGAAAGATTACGACAAAGATCTGTTTGGAGGTGACTACAGGAAGGTTTTTCACAGTGAAAAAAAGAAATTCTCTAACATACAGGAAGTTAAGATCACTATCAGTGAAACTGAAGGAGATTTTGATGAAGATGAAGTTCAGAAAGCCGAACAATCTGAAGGCAGTGGCCATGATAGTGATAACGTTTTAGAAAGAACATCTAAATTAGAATCTACACATACAGAAACTCAAAATATACCAAACCACAGAGAAATACAGTTAATAGAAGACCCTATTCCTGTAGCTCCATCACAGTCTAATCACAGTTCAATCGTACCAAACCATAACAATGCGTCAGAGCAAAAATACTCTGTAGTTATATCTACAAAAACCAGTACCACCTCTACGTCGGTTCAAATTCCTAAATCAGATGATTCAATGAAGTCAATTCAGTTTAACATAAGTCGATCTGAAGAGTACAATAATAGTACTGAACCTAATGATTTTAAAGATAATGATTCTATTAGAGACTCTAATAATAACGATGATAACTCTACAAACAATAATGAAGGTATAATATTCTCTGATTATGAAGAATCTAGAAAAAATACTACTAAAAAAGATGAAGATGTAATATTGCCTGATAATGATGAATCTTCCACTGAAGGATACAAAAGTACTACAATAGAAAATAACCTATTTATTGAGAATGAAGAAGATGTAACCAAAAGAATTGAAGAGCACAGAGAAGACGTAGATAGTTTAGCAGAAAATGGTATAAGCTTGAAAGATTTTAGTGAAATAACCAGTATATTATCGCCTGATGAGAACAGAGATGTTAAACTAGTAGGAACTGAAATAAAAAGTGTTGAAATAGAAAATTCTACGGATAAAGTCGTGCAAAAAGCAGAAAATAATACTAATACATCTACTGATATACTTGATGAAAATACAGATATTAAAATAGTAGAAAATGAAAATGCTACAGAAGAAAATATAGTTATAGAAAAAGTAACTAGTAATTCCACTGATGATAATGCAGATGTCAAGTTAGGAGGACATGATGATATAAAAGTTTTAGATGAGACAGAAGTTAAATCAGAAAATGTCGCCACTACAACCATTGACAAATCTAATGAAAACTCAGATATTAAAATAGTAAAAACTGATGATATAAAAGATATAGACATAGAAAATGTCACAGAAGTAAACCAAAATATAGAAAAAACAGTAAATACAAATGAAACTGATAGTGTTACCAAGAGCACTAATGAGATTCCATTTGATACATCTACTGTTATTATAAATACTTCTGATGATTCTGAGTCTAATATTGCTAAAATAGAAGAAGTGTTTTATACTACAACTCCTAAACAAGAAACCACCACTTCAAAAACATTTACAAGTACATTCATAGATAGCTGGATTTCCAGTACAAATATTGTTAATGTAGAAAATAGAATTGGAGACCAAGATTCAGATATATCTCACACAGAATTACCTACAAAACTAAACACAGAAATTATGAATGAAAGTGAACTTAAAAATGTAAGTAATGTGAATTTTGAAGATAAAGACTCAATATTGTTTGAAACAGAGCTGACCACAAAATTAGACTCAGAAATGTTCAATAAAAATGAAACTAAAGATACGATAGATAAATCAGTAGATCTTGTAAATAGAGAAGAAGAAATTGAAGATCAAGATTCACTTCTATTTGAAACAGAGTTCACTACAGTATTGAATCCAACATTCTTGAATAAAAATGAAATTAAAGATGTAACAGATGAACCAAGCATGGTTTCCGAAAACGAGGACCTTGTAAAAAGTTTTCAGGAAAAGCAGGAAGTGGTTGTACCCCGTGAACCGACTGCTAGCGAGATTGAGTCAATGTATAACTCAAGAATTGAGGAATACGAATCTTTAGAAGAAAATGATGATGTTTTTCGTAACGAAGAACTAGCTATAAGTTCGAAGATCCCTAAAATTGATCCGTGGACAGTACTGAGGAGTTCAGAAGCTGGGAGAGTTACTGAAATTAAGGGCACTACCGAAAAATCAAAGATAATTCATAATGAAATAGTTTTTGACCAAACCAGCACAATGCCAGAAGTGTTTACTTCAAAAATTGAAGTTAGTCCAGATAATTTAATAAAAACAAATATTTTGAAGAATTTGGCTGAATTCAGCGTCAAAATTAACAGACAGGTAGGTTTTTTGATTTGATTTTTACCACTCTATATGTTTTATATAATTATGTTTGTATCTTTTCAGGGTAGTTATTATTATATTCCACCTACAGCCTACGTTAGACAGAATTCAAGCTTTGTAAACATCACATGGAAATTGGAAGAAAACTTCAATAATTCTCTGGCATTTAAGGTCTATGAAAAGGAGGAATTCTATGTTATTAAGGAAATATTATTGAATCTATTGTTTGGTAAGTAAAAATCTCCATTTTTCTAATGTTTTCCATTATAATGTTGTATGATACAAATGCAAGAATTTTAAATTTTAGCAAAAGTTGTGAAACACTGATATAATTTTTCTTTGGAGTGTTTGGTGTTATAAACAAACTATAGGTAATGCTCTAATATAACTGATTATGTCTTAATTTGTTTCAGATAACTATTACATTGTACAGAAAAAATCAGTTGCTGTCAGTCCAGATATAGATGATTCACAGACCGGAAAGTCTAAGGAGGTCACTTTTAGGAATGGTGTTATTGTCACGTTTTCTAATGTAGATTTTTTGAAGAAACCAATCAATAAGGGTAAGTAATCATCTTTTTAGTCACTTCATAATGACATAAATGACAAACAAGTTATACAGGGTTGTTCACCACATACGACACGGAGTATTGTAGCTAAACGATGAGATTTTTACAAATTGTAAGTTTGGGGTTCGTTGAAGGACTATTAGAGCTACAATTTAAAAATATTTTTACAAGATACAGAATGTCCCAAATAAATAAAAAATATCAAAGTTGTATTTTTTTAAATGGAACACCCTGTATATTATTACATTTTTAGTTTCTACGATTAAAATAAAGGTAAATTTGATTAAGGTTTGTTATACTTAAACCTTACCGTTTTTGAAATATTTCCAATTTTGTGAAATTGCAGTAAAAATTTTAAAGCTTCATTTCTCCAAGGGTATCAATGTTTTTAATACTAAATATTTAATGAAGTTTATTTATTGATCAGTTATTGTGTTGCAATAATAAAAATAATACTACCTTATACAGAGTGTGTAAAAAATTATTTTAAATAATTATTAGCTTCAAACGGCAATAACTTATTTAATTTAAATGGAATGCCCTGTATATTTTAGGAGAATCAGATGCACAATTAAATTGTCTATCAAATTGTATTATACCATTTTTACCTATCCCTTCAAGTTTTCGTAGAAAATGCATTTTCTTATAATTTAGACCTGTTTTTAGCGATATATCGATAATATTACATTTTAGCCCATTTAAAGCAACAAATGCAAAATGTAACAAAGAAAACGTTTTTAGCAAAACGATAATATTTAGCCCACTTGTATGCAAAAAAGAAAAATAAATCTTTATAAAAGAGTATACCATTAATTAAATATAACACCATTATTTTCTCATATAGTAATTAATTACATACTTAATTGTGTTCGTTAATAAATTATTATAAATAAATGTGGATTTGAGTCAGAAATCAATATAATAATAAGTTATCAAATTAAAGTCTCTGTTGTTATAAATAAGCATTTATTAAAAAATAAAATATCATTTTTAAGGTGTTACTTTTTATCACACTGTCTAATGCCCATACAAAATTCAGTTTTTTAGTATTTGTAGCAATTATTATTAATCAACGCAAACAGTCAGTTAATGTAGTTTGAATACTGGAATCATATTAATTGGTCCTCTTTAACAAATATTTAAACAGTTTTTTTTTATTTTTTAATGAAATAAACGAATTATATCGACAATATTAGTATCTGTACTCTTTAAAAATTTGGTACATCTTCAAAAATAATCTAAAATATCAATAGTCCATGGGTATATTGATAAATAAGTTCTAAATTACAAGAAAATGCATTTTCTACGGAAACTTAAAGAGATATGTAAAAAATGGTATAATATAATTTGATAGACAATTAAACTGTGCATCTGATTCTCGTAAAATATACAGGGTGTTCCATTTAAATTAAACAAGTTATTGCCGTTTGAAGCTAATAATTATTTATTTAAAATAAATTTTTAGACACTTTGTATAAGGTAGTATTATTTTTATTATTGCAACACAATAACTGATCAGTAAATAAACTTCAGTAAATATTTAGTATTAAAAACTTTGATACCCTTGGAGAAATGAAGCCTTCAAATTTTTACTGCAATTTCACAAAATTGAAAATATTTCAAAAACGGTAAGGTTTAAGTATAATAAACCTTAATCAAATTTACCTTTATTTTAATCGTAGAAACTAAAAATGTAATAATATACAGGGTGTTCCATTTAAAAAAATACAACTTTGATATTTTTTTACTTATTTGGGACACTCTGTATCTTGTAAAATTATTTTTAAATTGTACCTCTAATAGTCCTTCATCGAACCCAAAACTTACAATTTGTATAAATCTCATCGTTTAGCTACAATACTCCGTGTCGTATGTGGTGAACAACCACAAAAAATATAGAACCAAAGATAGAACTTACAAAGAAAACAATAATTTTACTTTTAACGTTTCTATGTTACTTTTCTAGAATTCTCTGAATCTGCCATCAGAGCTAGACGTGTCCTGCACATAGAAGTAGCTTCAATATGCCTAGCTACAGTAGCTATTGTCACCATCACCCTGTATGTCATAGTGCTGAAACGAAAATCCAGAATAACCCTAGGAGAGAAGTCAGACATACCCCAAGTTACCCACTGTTAAAATTCTAAATAATTAATTACCATTTTTAATCTTTTTCTTCATAATTATTTCAGTATTATTGCTAGAATAGCAAATACATAAATATCATTGGTATTCTGATCTGTATTGTAAGGTATGCCTTCCAATATAAAGAAAACAACTAAAAAATTTAATTGTTAAATGCTGTATGAAAATATATCCAAAAATACTTACTGAAAAAACTATGAAGAAGTCTTAAATGCATCACGGGCATTAATATACAGGGTGACAATTTGAAAACGAACAGTATTTAATATTACCTCTACCGATGATAGTATGAAAATTTGGAGAAATACGTCAATTTACATATCAAGGGGGACAATTTTTGAGGCATTTGTTGTCATGTTACTTTCAACCCTTTGACCCCCAGGGCACCTACCCCTAAAATTTTAAATGGCAACCCCTATTTCTTTTACCATTTTTGTGTTCCTTATAAAATTCTCAAAAAAATAATGCAGTTTATGTAGAATTCTATAAGAAACAAAAAAATGGTAAAATAAATAGGGGTTGCTATTTAAAATTTTAGGGGTAGGTGCCCGGGGGGTTAAGGGGTTGAAAGTAACACGACCACAAACTCAAAAATTGTCCCCCTTGATATGTAAATTGACGTATTTCGCTAAATTTTCATACTATCATCGGTAGAGGCAATATTAAATACTGTTGGTTTTCAAATTGTCACCCTGTATACAATAATGCCCATCGAGTGCCAAATATATTACTGTACTCCGGGCATTATTGTCTTCATAATGCCCTTGGTGCACACACAAATCAATATTAGTTATAATAGGATTTAAAATTTGTTTTTTAGTATTTATTTTGTTAGTTAAATTTAGATATAAGCCAAAGACTTTATTTTTTAGAATAATATTTTTTTGTATTGAATTTAGAGATACTATGTATAAATGAGTTTCATTGAAATTAACAACTGAATAAAATAAAAATTTTAGAGATACTTATTATTTAGAAGAATATGTAGATCTTTTTTTTTGTTAATTATGATTTATAAATAGAAGAAAATATTTAGATGATAATAAAAAAAATGCTTGTAAATAGTGCAGATATACAGAGAGTTTAGATTTAAGAATGTATCATAGCTTTTATAGCTTTTGCCTTAGGTGAGAGATGCCATAATAGAATAAAGACTTATTGAAGGTAATTTTTGTATTAATGTCTTTTTAGAGAATATACAGGGTGATCTATTAGGCCGAAAACGCTCTCTATCAAGTTTCCTGTCTTTCCTGGATATAATACAGGGTTGTTCACCACATACGACACGGAATATTGTAGCTAAACGATTAGATTTTTACAAATTGTAAGTTTTGGGTTCGTTGAAGGACTATTAGAGCTACAATTTAAAAATATTTTTACAAGATACAGAGTGTCCCAAATAAATAAAAAATATCCAAATTGTATTTTTTTAAATGGAACACCGTGTATATTATTACATTTTTAGTTTCTACGACTAAAATAAAAGTAAATTTGTTTATTACACTTAAACCTTACCGTTCTTGAAATATTTTCAATTTTGTGAAATTGCAGTATAAATTTTAAGGCTTCATTTCTCCGAGAGTATCAAGGTTTTTAATACTAAATATTTATTGAAGTTTATTTATTGATCAGTTATTGGTGTTGCAATAATAAAAATTTTACTACCTTATACAGAGTGTCTCAATATTTATTTTAAATAATTATTAGCTTTAAACGGCCATAACTTGTTTAATTTAAATGGAACACCCTGTATATTTTATGAGAATCAGATGCACAATTTAATTGTCTATCAAATTGTATTATACCATTTATTACCTATCTCTTCAAGTTTCCGTAGAAAATGCATTTTCTTGTAATTTAGAACTCATTTATCAATATAGGTACCCATGGAATACTGACATTTTAGATTATTTTTAAAGATTCCAAACCAAATTTTTAAAGAGTATATTAATAATAATTGCTCCAAATACTAAAAAACTGAATTATGTATGTGTATTAGACAGTGTGGTAAAAAAACTAACACTTTAAAAATGATATTTCATTTTTTGACAAATGCTTATTTATAACAGAGACGTTCATTTTCATAACTTATTATTATATTGATTTCTGATTCAAATCCACATTTAGTTAGAATAATTTATTAACGAACACAATTAAGTATGTAATTAATTAGTATTTGGGCGGAAATACTGGTGGTATATTTAATTAATGGTATACTCTTTTATAAAGATTTAAATAGTTTTCTTTTTGCATACAAATGGGCTAGTAATATTATCGTTTTGCTTAAACGATAATATTACTAGCCTGTACATTTTGTACATTTGTTGTTTAACAATCTAAAATGTCAATATACCATGGGTATATTGAAAAATGAGGTCTAAATTATAAGAAAATGCATTTTCTACGAAAACTTGAAGAGATAGGTAAAAAGTAGTATAATACAATTTGATAGACAATTAAATTGTGCATCTGATTCTCATAAAATATACAGGGTGTTCTATTTAAATTAAACAAGTTATTGCCGTTTAAAGCTAGTAATTATTTAAAATTAATTTTTAGACACTCTGTATAAGGTAGAATAATTTTTATTATTTCAACACAATAACTGATCAATAAATAAACTTCAGTAAATATTTAGTATTAAAAACTTTGATACCCTCGGAGAAATGAAGCCTTAAAATTTATACTGCAATTTCACAAAATTGAAAAAATATTTCAAAAACGGTAAGGTTTAAGTGTAATAAACCTTAATTAAATTTACCTTTATTTTAATCGTAGAAATTAAAAATGCAATAATATACAGGGTGTTCCATTTAAAAAAAATACAACTTTGATATTTTTTACGTATTTGGGTCACTCTGTATCTTGTAAAAATATTTTTAAATTGTAGCTCTAATAGTCCTTCAACGAACCCAAAACTTACAATTTGTGAAAATCTAATCGTTTAGCTACAATACTCCGTGTCGTATGTGGTGAACATCCCTGTATAATAAATATAATAAATGAGTAATTATAGTGAATAGGAAGGTATAAAAATATGTCCTTAAATTAATGTATGCAGTGTTGTAGCAAACATAAGAAAAATCAACTATCAGTTTCAAGTAATTTCTTGGTGCACAGACTTTAAAAAACTACACTGTCAGTGTATAAAAAGATGAAACACCCTGTATATTAAAATATGTGACACTCCAAAAGTTTGACATCATGTATATCCCATATGACACGCTGCAACCCTACATGTTTATAATATGTGTCATCCCTTTTAATAAATAAATCATCATTAGAGTGACAGGAATATCAGCAGATCTTTCATGATAAAATAATTAATTAATTATAAAAATAGAAAAATGATGATAAAAAAAGTAATAAATTTTTGTGATGTAAGAGGAAATGTCACATATTAATAACATATTAATAATTATTTTGAATTAAAATTTTTAAAATACAATATCTAAATTCTAAATTACATAGTTTGAATCACAATATAAAGGTCTTGTATCTTTATATTCTGTTTGTACCATGCAAAGACCATAGATTTTGATACTGGATTGATTGATCGCACACAAAGATCGCACATAATAAAAATGAATTAACTGATCACTTTATAATCCTCGGTATAATGTTAAATATTTATATTTCAACAACAAATTAACATATTTTGTGACATTGCAGTCAGTAGGTGTGTCAGTAGTGTCACTAGTTTAAATCGTAATTTTAAAAATTATTCACCATTTTGTCAAGAATATTCTTAAATATTGTAAAATGTATTTTTTAAAAAAAGTGTAGGTAGGAATTAGAAAATATATAGATTTGTTAAATAATAAATATGTAAAAAACTAGTATACCGGGTGCGTTTCAAAAGTGGCTCATCCCTATAACTTTTTTTTATTTCTTCAGATAAATAAACGAAATTTGGTATTAGTTAAACATAATTAGGATTGATTGACGTATTCAATTGTTTTTGGCCATTTCCTGTTTCACCGGAAATGACTACAACTTTTGATTTTTAAATGGCGTCCTCGGTATATTTCTACTTTATTCGATAGAAAATGGCATTCTTAACAGAATGACATATAGAGTTGCCGCGAGACGAGCCGAGACGAGATAAAAACTTATCTCGTCTCGTCTCGAAATTTCGAGATAAAGCATTATCGAGACGAGACGAGACAATGTCGAGACGAGACGAGATAAGGTCTTATCTCGTCTCGTCTCGTTTTGTCTCGTTTTTTTTCCGACTTGTTTAATATATCTCAATAATGCTTTATATTACCTAAGGGATATTTCCTACAGGATTGAAAAAAATAATTACGATTTTTTTTGAAAATATCAAATATATTTTTTTAATTAAACATTTTTTTGTTTAATTTTTATCAATAAAATATACCAAAATTTTCTTAATCATTATAATAATGCGGCTTGATTTGGTTTTAAAGTTTTCATTTTTTTGTATACCGGGTGCGTCTCAAAAGTGGCTCACCCCTATAACTTTTTATTTTTTCAGATAAATAAACGAGATTTGGTACGTTAGTATGTGACATAAATTAGGATTGATTGACGTATTCAATTGTTTTCGGTCACTTCCTGTTTACCCGGAAATGATTACAACTTTTGATTTTTAAATGGCACCCCGGTATATTTTTACTTTATTGGATAGAAAATGACATTCTGACTAGAGTGACATATCAGATGTCAACTTTTGACATTTTTGCTTAAAAATAAATCGCATTTTAAATTTCAATCTAGAGTGTCATGGCTGTGTTAAAAACACTAATTTTTAATCAAGGAGCCTTGGAAAAATAGACTTGATCGCCTAAAGTTATTCGTGTCTTGTCCTGGCCGGTTAAAAGATGCCCTAATCGTTTTTTAATCATATTTCAATTTTTTCAAAGGGATCAAGAGTGGCTCATTAGCATATTTGGAAAAAGCATTTTTTTACGAATAATTTGATACCACACACTTGGTGTTTCGAGTCAAATTGTCGTTATGAACCGCATGTTCCTGTTCTAATAAATTATATGCGAAAATGTCAAAAGTTGACATATGATATGTCATTCTATTCAGAGTGTCATTTTTTATCGAATAAAGTAAACAAATACCTAGGGTGTCATTTAAAAATCAAAAATTGTAGTCATTTCCGGTGAAACAGGAAGTGACCAAAAACAATTGAATACGTCAATCAATCCTAATTTATGTCATATACTAATGTACCAAATTTCGTTTTTTTATTTGAATAAATAAAAAAGTTA